GGGGGGGAGAATGAGAGAGACCTTGGTCCTCAAATGGCTTTTTAAAAAAATTAATAAAATTTCCATAAATAGCTAGGACAATAAAAAACCTGGGACTACATACACCCAGGCAGTGGGACAGACTGTCATGGATCACGTACACCTTCAGGGGCAGAAGAATGGGGAAGAGCTGTCTCTCCTGAGGGAGGGTGTTTCAGTCCTCAGAATCCCTGGTGGGAAGATGAAGTTCCCTGATTCCTTTTAACATACGCCTGTTTAATCTCAGTGCTGCTGCTCAGGTGTTTAGTTTCATTTTTTTATAATACATTAGACCAATGCTGAGAGGCAGGCAGGCAGAAATCTACGTCTGTGTTTTCCAATATCTAAGAGTTAGCACAGAGCTCAGCTTATGATAGTAAATGTTTTGATATACAGTAACATGAGAGAACATTTTTTGAAGTATTTACAAGATAGTGTTTATCACAAATTTTTTTTTAGCCTAAAAACTTTGGTTCACAAAATTTTACATGCAAATACAATAGAACCCCCATAGTTGGCCTCCACCCTCCATTAACCACCTCTTTCAGTTGACCTAATTACTGCAGACGGGACACGTACTACACGTCCATGTCAGCACCACAGGCCTAGTTCCCTGTGCTAACCACCCCATATGCGGACCAGTCTGTTAGGGCCCTGAGTGGTCACTCACAGAAGGTCTACTGTGTAAGCAAATACAGCCCAAAGCTGAGCTGTTCCCGCTGATCCTCTCTGTGGGTGAGGACCCCACCCCCACCGTTACCTCCCATACAGTGGAGTTTGAAATCTATTGTTCTAACTTAAAATAAAATTAGAAGAAAAATTAACCTAAACTTAAAAAATACATAATTTTTTTAAAGAGAGGGAAAGAGCTCAATCTGGTAAAACAATCTCTACTATATGCCTCAGTCTGACAGACACCTCATTTTCAGACTTTGCATCAGCTGAACAGGTAAGAGTCAAAACTAAAATTAATGAGAACCACGGAACAGTACTACAGGAATTTTTATTATTTTTTTACTTGTTAAAGCTATTTGGAAAAAATCAGTTTTCCTATCAATGCTAACTGCAATAAGAAGCTGAAAAAAAATATATATATATTCCTCGCAAACAACTCTATTTTGTCAAATAATGGACAAAATATATGATTCAAAGCAATTACTCTGCCAAATAGGTTAATGACAAGAATGAGGAAAATCCATCTTACCTTACAGCAGAGATAGAGCAGTATTAATATCGGTACTGAATATCGCATTATACATACCTATGTAAGAGAGAAACTATTTAGAATACACATATTTTAAACACTTTTTTTTTTGAGACAGAGTCTCAGTATGTCACCCTTGGTAGAGTGCTGTGGTGTCACAGCTCACAGCAACCTCAAACTCTTGGGCTTAAGAGATTCTCTTGCCTCAGCCTCCCAAATAGCTGAGACTACAGGTGTCCACCACAAAGCCCAGCTATTTTTAAGTTGTAGTTGTCATTGTTGTTTGGCAGTCCCGGGCTGGATTCCAACCTGCCAGCTCCAGTGTATATGGCTGGCGCCCTAGCTGTTTGAGCTACAGATGCTGAGCCTAAGCACTTTTTTTAAAAAAAGAGATGGAGCATCTTGCTACCTTGCCAAGGCTGGCCTTGAACGCCCAGCGCCAGCGATCCTCTGGGCTCAGCCTCCCCACTAGCTGAGTCTCACAGGTTTGCACCATCATGCCCAGCTGTTCTGAACACTTGGGCCTTGCAGTTTTGCTCTGTAAATATATGCCTTTTTATTAACAACAGACATATAATTTAATGGAGCACGAGTCTCCAATATCCCCAACAACTGAGTCAATACAATGGTTCCAGTCACCCCAAGAGTGTGTGGCTTCTGCCATGCTGCCACGGTGAGTCTGCAGGGCAGAGCAGTCCACCTACTGTGCAGGCTACTGAGCAGCATCATACACTCAGAATAATTACTTTAGGGAAATACATAATAATGATAGTTCCTATTCAGATAAGAGAATTATTTGTTTTTTCTCCTTTTGTGTTCTTTTAAAATTTCAAATTCTGTATAATGAACATAATCTAAACTATATCATCTGGGGAAAAATAAATGATTTGAAAATAAAATTTGAAAAATAATTTCTTATAAAATAATGCATCAATTATCTATTCTTAGCTTCGAATTTTAGTACCTATTTTATTTGACTATATGGGCAGCTACTGAAAAAAACTGGTATGAAAGAAATACTAAAAATCATAGAAAGTAAATGGAAAGAGAGACAGCACAGACCCTCCGTGGGCTGTACAGATGCACCGACTTCAGCAGTAACTGCCAGGTGTCAGGGCTGCACAGGCCGGATGACGCGAAGGCACACATGTGTGACGTCCACAAGTACTTCATCCTGCAGGGACGGAGACAGGAGAGGTCACGCCCGCTGCCTGAGCAAGAGCCGGGGGCCCAGGTCCTGTCAAGACCGCAGTACAATCACCACAGTGACTGTTTACTGAACCCACGCAGAGACCATGTGCCCACTGGTCAGTTATCAGTCCCCTTGTCTTGTAAGCAGTATCACGGACAAAAACCCAGAGAAATGTTTCTGATTAAGAGAAATCGAATCCCTAGCAATGCTCTGTACTGGGAGAAGACAAGGCCATCATGACAATTTTAGGGGAGAACAGTCATCAATGAAGATCACTGTTAGTTTCCAAGGGACACTGCGGAGTCATGTCAAGTAAACAGTGGTCAACTTAGAAAATCTATCAAAGAAATAGGAAAGACAAAAAGTACCTCATGGTGCTCAAGGCCAAGAATCCAAACAGAATGGTGTGTATCAAGTTATAAGCAGTTTCTGGTTTCAGGTCGATTGTACACTTTCCCATTTTACCCAGGGATTGTTGATTTGTAGAATCACTGAATAAAATAGCAAACATATAAAATTAAAGTTGGGAAAAATTTACTTTGTTAAATCTTACAGAAGATGTAATAAACTTATGTCTTTATATATATACAAATGTATTATTTCCCTAAGATGAAGTGAATTGGCACTGATCAACTTTGAATTTATGAGGCTAAAAGTGTTACCGTATAAATGCATTAGTACTTAGAGAAACTCAATTTCCCAGCAGTCTTTAAGTAAAAACTTAAAAGTGCTTCAATTCTTTAAATTAAAATAACAATTAAAAAAATCCTTTTGGAATCACAGAGACTGGAAGAGATTTAAAGATGTTTGACCAGTTATTACTAATAGTTTTCAACTTTTTACAAATAAGCAAAAGCAAAAATATACCCAAAAACTTGAAGTTGAGCTCCTTTGTGAACCAAAAATCACGTTTAGCCTACCAATACCTCATGCTGTATGCTCAAGAGGTGACTTCTATAAAATTTGGCTACATTGAATATAGTCATACCCAGTCACATTAACATTAATTCCTTAACATCATCTAATACCCAGTTCCTGTTTTGTGATCCCTGTTAGTAGCAATTGTTTACAGGTAGTTTCTTATCTTTGAGTTTGGACCCAAAGATTACATATTGCATTTCATTGATGTATCTCTTTAGATAGCTTTTTAATCTATAAAAGTATCTCCCACCTTGTTCCCCTTTTTAAAAACGCCCATTGGCCAGGTGCAGTGGCTCACACCTGTGATCCCAGCACGCTGGGAGGTCAAGGCAGGTGGATTGCTCGAGCTCAGGAGTTCAAGACCAGCCTAAGCAAGAATGAGACCCTGTCTCTACTAAAAATAGAAAAATTAGCTTAGTGTTGTGAAAGGCACCTATGGTCCCAGCTACTTAGTAGGCTGAGGCAAGAGGATTGCTTAAGCCCAGGTTTGAGGTTGCTGTGAGCTGCTGATGCCACTGCACTCTAGCCTGGGTTACAGAGTCTCAAAAAATAAATAAATAAATACATTTATTTTTTTAAAGCCCATTCATTATTTGTTGGAAAAAATGTAATACTTGTCCTATAACTTTTCCCATCTTCTGCATTTAGCTTATATGCTATGTAATACATGTTTCTTTCTTTCTTTCTTTTTTTTTTTCGAGACAAGAGTCTCACTTTGTCACCCTTGGTAGAATGTAGTGACATCACAGCTCACAGCAACTTCAGCTCTTGGGCTTAGGCGATTCTCTTGCCTTAGCCTCCTGAATAGCTGGGACTACAGGTGCCCGCCACAACGCCTGACTATTTTTTTGTTGCAGTTTGGCTGGGGCTGGGTCTGGGTCTGGGGTTGGGTTCGAACCCGCCACCCTTGGTATATGGGGCCAGTGCCCTATTCACTCAGCCACAGGCACCGCCCTATAATACATTTTTCTATTTGCATGTTTCTTGTTAACTTGTAACTAGATCTTTAGGTTTATGGGAGTCAAGTTCATTCTGTTTGGCAAGAACTCTTCACAAGGGCATGACATCTAGGAGCACTCCCTCATCTACAGCTTCCCTTTCTTTCTTTCTTTTTTTTTTTTTTACTTCTTCCTCCTATAGTGTTCCCTTGCCCCCCATGTAGCTGGGATCACAAGGTCCGGCTCTCTTGTTGTTGTTGTTGTAGAGACAGGGTCTCACTCTGGCTCACTCTGCTTCAGGCAGGTCTTCAGCTAGGTCTCGAACCTCTGAGCACAGGTGATCCACCCGCCTCGGCCTCCCACAGCTCTGGGACAACAGGCGTGAGCCACCACGCTTGGCCAGGGTTCCCTTTCAATGGTTTCCGTTAATGCAGAAACTGCTATCCAAAAACTTTAAATGAAAAATTTCTAAAATAAAAACAATGCATAAGTTCTGAGCTGCACGCTATGGGATGAAATCTTTTGTTGTGCCTCTTCATCCTGCCTGAGACATAATCCAACCTTGACCATTGTCAGGCAGCAGCAGATCGACTGTCAGGGTATTTCCTGTGCTCAAGTAACCTTTATTTTACTTAATAATGGTTCCAAAGTACAAGAATAGTGATGGTGATATAATCATTCTATTTTATTATTAGTTACCGTTGTTAATCTCTTACTGTGACTAATTTAGAAATTAAACTTTACCATAGGTACTGTTTCCCTGAAAATAAGACCTACCCCCAAAATAAGCCCTAGTAGGATTTCTATGCATTTGTTAAATATAAGCCCTCCCCCAATAATAAGACCTAGTGATGGGTATGGCTATGCAGTGTATCTGCATAGCCACACCACGCATTTCAGCGCAGAGCGGTAAGGAAGACTGGAATACCTTTTATCTGTCACAGCTCCTTTCTCCGAGCCATTCACACTTGCGCGGGTGTGAGTGTGGTAACCGCCATCAAAGGCATCCTATTGTGCATGTGCAAATGGCTAGGGGAAAGGAGTTCACGCATCACTAGCTCCACCCCCACGAACAAGGTCGGCTCCCCTGTCAGGTTCCAGAAGAAGATGACTTAACTGTATTTGAATAAGTGTAGATTGTTATGTTATACTTAATAAAAATAAGACATCCCCTGAAAAGAAGCCCTAGTATGTATTCTTGAGAAAAAATAAATATAAGATAGTGTCTTATTTTGGGGAAACACTGTATGTATGTGCAGGAAAAAACACTGTAGTCTACAGGGTTCAGAACTACCCTCAGTTTCGGGCATACACTGAGGTCCCCACAGAAAGGGGGGACTGCTAAATGCACCCCACTGGGAAGAGCACACTGTCTGGTTGTCTCCACCTGAGTGATGTTAAGACTGATGAGTGGGTAAAAGAAGACAGTGAGGCCTGCCAGTTTAAGATAAAAATAAGGCTTTCATGAAGATCCTACTGATATTTCACGCTTCTCTAGACACATGTATAACCAGAGAAATTTTATTTCCTAGAAATCATCTTTTTTTTTTTTTAGTAGAGACAGAGTCTCACTTTATGGCCCTGGGTAGAGTACCGTGGCATCACACAGTACACAGCAACCTCCAACTCCTGGGCTTCGGCCTCCTAGCTGGGCTAGAAATCATCTTTTCAGTACTGCAGATATATAGGAAAATTAAAATGATACTCTAAGGCAGTTTTCACCACTTTTTACTTAAATAATACATCCCACACATTGGCTTCTGTGTTGATACTCAAAGGTTACTCTGCACAGGAGAACATATGCTTTTATCTTCCCTGGACACCTAGGAGAATTCTACAACACCTGCCCCCCCAACCCCAGCCAAGCTAGAAGCTTCCTACTAATCCTATGAATATGGAACATGGTGCCCTTTCAGTTGCAGCTGTCACTCCAACGTGGACGTGCCATCTAAGCGTCATAGTATCATCCTTCCCAGGATTAAAAAGGGAGAAATGCTTTGGGCACTTGGCACTGGTGAAATGTTCTGCAAATTACTTAAAAGTTAACGCAACGTTCAGTCAACAACAGACCCAGACCACACACAGGGTTGTTCTGTGAGATTATAGTGCAGGGGAAAATTTCCTATTGCTTAGGGTCACTGTAACATTATAGTGCAATTTTTTTTTTTTTTTTTATAGAATTAGTGCAGCCTAAGTGTAGCATGTTTATAAAAGGCTATGTGGTGCAGTGATGTTCAGGCCTTCACATTCACTGCCCCCTCACTCATGGACTCACTCAGAGCAGCTCCCAGTCTTGCAAGCTCCATTCATGGTAAGTGCCATATACAAGCGGACCCTTTTAATCTTGTGTACCATATTTTTTATCTTTTATACCTGTTCCCTTTAGATGTTCACATATGTTCACATACAAAAATACTAACCCAGTGTATTATAATTGCCTGCAGCATTTTGTACTGTATGGGACTGTAGCCTGGGGCAACAGGCTGTGGCACACAGCTGTGGTGTGGGGTAAGTTTGTGTGAGTACACAGGTGAACCTGCCTGACAGTGAGTTCTCGGGACATATTCCCACTGGTAAGTATCGAGGGACAGTGCGCAGCTCCTCAGTTACCCTAATGCGCTTTCCCTCTGATAAGTCCTGGAGTCCCCACTGGTAAGTACCGAGGGACTGTGCTCAGCTCCTCAGTTACCCTAATGCGCCTTCCCTCTGATAAGTCCTGGAGTCCCCGCTG